ATCCCAAAGGTCACTTATCAAATCACCACTCTAGTTCTTCTCTAGCTTGTTTTTCCTTATGATATTTTGTCATTCTGTTTTTAATTTTATTTTTCAAAAGTTTTCTTTCTAAGTTATAGCTGGGGCTTCTTCTGAGAAAATTAGTTTTTCTATAATCGAAAAAATTTTTCCAGCTGGCAATTAAAGTATTTTCCAGCTCTTAATAACCATTTTTTTCTTATATTTTATTGTTTCCGCCATTCTCTATCTTATTTTGTTTTTTTTCGAGTTGACCACCATTCTGTAAATAATTAATTACAAAACATAAACAATGGTATCCATATTGGGTGTGATCTTTTTTATTTTTCAAATTCAAAAATCAGATTTTATATTTAACATCATCTATACCCTAAAACATACTAAAGACTCTAACGTCTCTAAAACTAAAACTCTGTCATTTCTTTACAAAAATAGTATTTTTTACATACCTTAGAGTATGTTGTCACAAAACAAAAACTTCACATCCTCATATCTACAACTTTAAGGAGAGAGAAATGTTCTATGTGAGTGCATTTGAGAGAAATAGGGGTATTCCATATTAGGGATACTATCCCATATTTGGTCACTTTCCTCTACGTGCCCTAAGTTAGTACTATTTGCTCTAGATGTTATGTTTACAATATATATTCCACCGCAAAAGCCGTATCCGTTACGCGTTAAAGATGTTTTTTTTTGTTTAGCGAGAAGACATCGGAAGTAAATTGCTATATTTCAAACCCAAAAATTTTGTCTGTGGCAATACGCTCTGCGTGAAACTATTAAAAAAAATCGACGACTTGAGTCAAATTGCCGATCACTCACTTCTCTATAAATAAAATTTAAACATCCGGCCAAGCCTATCATAGCCCAATGCTTATAGAGTTATAACACCAACAGACAATTCTATATTCCATCATCAATTATTCTCTATAAACGCCACAGAAAAACTGCAGTAGCTAGATTGAACTGTGACAAACTGACGAAGCTAAAACCGTTGTACAGATTTAATAGCAGCCACATTTTCCCTTTATTGCTAACATAGTTTTGATGGTAATGCGAGCCGAATGGAGATAAAACAGACAAAGCTATTACAACTTTTGTTCGTGGTCACAATAAAATTCATGCAACAATAAAAACTCTAGATATTCATGACTGCATGACGTCATTTCCATTCATAGGTGCTGCGGAAGCTTACACTAGCTATCGAATAAATTTAGTTAAATTGTGATTTTTTTATTCATTTCCTTTGATTATTTTATAATAATAATAATTTATTTGCACAAAAATGGTGGTACAATCTAAAGTTCATATAAAATGGCGTGCAAATTTGTTTTAAAATTTTACATAGAAGTTACATACATTATGAGTTATATCAATTAGTCAGTTCTTTTATTATTTGTAGTGATATAAGTTCACATTATTAAAATGTATTATTACGTTATTAAATTAATATTGATTATAATGTTTTACGCAAATAATCATTAATAGAATAATATTTTTTTCCAAAAGTAGTACATTAAGTCGATTTTAAAAACTCTAGTAGGAAGATTTTTTGAATGTTTTTGGTAAAGTAATAAACCTTGATGGTACAAAAGGTGATTTGTCTATATTAAAATTTTGAAGTTTGAAGAAGGAAAGGGATAAAATTTTGAAGTTACAAAGGTACGCTAGAGAAGAACTATCAAGATAGTTTGCTCCACAAATTGCTATAACACATTTTTTTTAGCCTTAAATACCCTATTTCCTATGTGTTGAAAGCAAAAGTAAATTGCTGTATTTTAACGTAAAATAATCTCAATTCAGGATTCAGGACGTAATCAAGCATAAAGTGAGGTAAAACTAAAGGAACGCCTACTAGAAAATAGCTCAGAAAAATAGCTGCTTATAGAAGGATAGTGTGAGTTGACATCAAAAATAAAATAAAAATAAAAAATAAAAATAGCCTTTATTCGAGTACACTATAACTACAGTAAGTCTATGTCTTTTAAGTTTTACACTTGTACTCGACCTCCGATGGAGTGAAGGCCTCCTCCAGATTCTTCCACTTATCCCTATTTTAGGCGACAATTTTCCAGTTTTTTCCCGCTATCCCTTTTATATCGTCTTCCCAAGTTTTCGGTGGGCATCCTCTCTTTCTTCTTCCCACTGGGCCCTTCCAAGTAAGGGTCCTTTTGACCCATCTGCCATCACAAATGCGCCCAATGTGACCGGCCCATTTCCATTTTAGCCTTTTTGTATAAGTTACAACATCTTTTATTTTTGTACGACTTCGTATCATCTTGTTTTTTATTTTGTCTTTAAGCTTCAATTGAAGAATGGAGCGCTCCATAGCCCTTTGGCATACTCCAATCTTTTTTATTAACGCCTTGTTAAAAATCCAGGTTTGGCATCCGTATGACAAACATGGAAGTATGCATGTGTCCATGACTGTTCTTTTTATAGTTAAGTTATGGTTGGATTTCAGTACTTCTTTTAAAGCCCAATATTTGTTCCATGCTAGGTTTACACGTCTGTTTGTTTCTTCCACAAGTCTGTTTTGACTAAACGATATTTGTTTTCCTAGGTATATGTAGTTTTGGACATATTCAAGAGACGTGGCGTTGACAAAAATTGGTCGTTCTTTGCTGTTAGTCATAACTTTAGTTTTGGAGGTATTCATTTCTAGGCCAATGCTTTTACTTGCGCAGACTAATTCGTTAAGCATGTCTTGTAGCTGCGTCGCACTGTTTGAGAAGATAACTATATCGTCGGCGAATCTCAAGTTGCTTAGATACTGACCATTTATTTCTATCCCTTTTTTCTCCCATTGAAGGGTTTTTATTACGCTTTGTAGAACCGTTATAAATATTCTAGGTGACAAAGGATCGCCTTGTCTTACGCCTCTGCATATTTTTATTTCTGGGCCAATTCTGTCTAACTTCACGCGGCTTACGCTTTGCTGGTATATATTTTGTATGAGTTCTATTATTTCATAAGGAACATTACATTCACCAAGAGCTTTCCACATGCTTTTGTGAGATATGGTGTCAAAAGCTTTGGCGTAATCAACGAAACCTAGGTATAGGGGGCAGTTTTGGTCGATATATTTTTCTATAATCATGTCTAAGGCATGAATATGATCTATAGTAGAGAAGCCTCTTCTAAAACCAGCTTGTTCTACTGGTTGATATTCTTCGGTATATTTTGACAAGCGTCGTTCTAGACAGGAAGCGAACAATTTGTACATACTAGGTTGCAAGCTTATCGGGCGGTAGTTGCCCACATCAGTCGGGTCCCCTTTTTTATATAGTAAAATTATGTCAGACCGTGCCCATTCTCTGGGTATTTTTCGTGAATCCATAACCATATTAAAAAGCCTTGTTATGGGGGTTGCTAACAAAAATCTTCCAACTTTTATAGCTTCATTTGTTATGCCATCTGGTCCACAGCTTTTGTCTACCTTTAATTGTTCCATAGCTTTGATAACTTCATAAGTTGAAAATCTTTCAGTCGATAAGTTGTTGTGATGGATTTCGAAATTTTCTGTATTATTAATTATATTATTATTAGGGCCATATAACTCCTTGTAGAATTTAGTAGCTATCTCAATTATTTTGGATCTAGAGTATGTTGTCGATGATGAACTGGTTTTTATTCGAGGTATCCATTGTTTGGTTCTGTTTAGTGCTCTAAAACCTTTTTTTATACTCCTTGATTCTGTTAGAAATTTCTCTAGTACTTGTAATCTATGTTTTTTATTGTCTTGTTTAATCATTTTATGTATATTTTTATACAGATATGTTCGTTCCTTCTTTTCTACGCTGCTTAAATGTGTTTTACGTGTCAACTCGTTTCTTCTGGATATCAGATCCTTTATGTGATTTGAGATAATATAACCTTTTCGATTATATCTATTTTTAGTTTTTAATGTAACGGCTCTTATGCTTCCCGTAAGTGACGTCTTAATTTGGTCATAATATTTGTTTACGTTGCCTTCATCAATATCTTTTATGTCTTTTATTTTGGTTTCTAAAGTTTTTAAATATGACTCTTCCTCTTCTGGGGACTTAAGATAAGAGTATGCACTATTTTTATATTTTACCCGACTCTTTTTTAGGTCTTTTACTATATATGTGCATCTTACAAGACTACGATCGCTGGCAAATGATAGATTGTGCACCACTTCAATGTTTTGTATATGTCGCATGTCATTTGTTAATATATAGTCAATTTGACTTCTTCGCTTTTTGGGGGAAAGCCAGGTCCATAGGTTTTTTAGCTTCTTTGTAAATTGGGTATTTATTATCTTTAAGTCGTTTTCACGGCAAAATTGCAGGAGCAGATCTCCTCTTTGATCCCGTTTACCAAAGCAATTTGCACCCATTACTCTTTCTTCACCAGGCAACCTTTTTCCTATTCTAGCATTAAAGTCACCTGCTAATATAAACTGCTTGTTGCAGTGCTTCATAGCATTACGTACTTGTTCATCCCCTTCCTCCCGCAGCGCTGTTGAGTGTGGACGTGTGTCACGAGTCAGAGCAAATTTTGTTTAATTAAATTTGTCTTTAAAAATCGCGATTGGCGGTGGTTGCGTGCATTTTTGATTTCTATTTGATGTGAGTCGAATATAAGTGGTTTCGGTTCGTGTAGTGAATGAATGGACTTTCTTGTGACGTCGGGTGCTAGGATTTGATCCCGCTCCGCCTCGTGGCGCGCTTGTGTGAGGCGGTCGGTTGCGCGACACGCCACGGTACGATACCGGTAACAGGCGAAATCAGTTATTGAATGCAGCGGGCGGTCTGCTACGCCAATTAAGCGCTACGAGTTAAGCGACGCTACCCCCGCCTGCCGTATTTACTACAAGTGCATCGGAACTAAGCGCTACGCTGTTGTTAGTACTACTTAGACAACAATTCACCACAATACTTTTTTATGATTGTTGAGTTGAATACATAGATTACGCGTATAGTGGATAGGGATTGATAGTATTGATGTCGAAGAAAATGCAGAGAACTCCTCCTGGTAAGTCATCGTCTGAGGCGGATATAAATAAGACATTTTTGGATGAGGGTGAGAAGATAAGAAATTCTAAACGGCTACGTTCTTCTAATTCACCTCGCCTTGACAGTTCGCTTACGTCCAATCCTTCCGAATTAACATCTTTCAAGCAAGACCTCATGAACATGCTTAACTCCTGGAAAGACGATCAGGACAGAAGACTGACTGTTTGGAAAACGGAACAGGATGCCACTTTGACCGGGCTTGCCAGGGATGTACTCTCCCTCAAGGCAGATATAGCGGTTCTTCAAAAATCTTCCCTTGAAATTGACTCGGGTCTATCTTTTATTAATAAAATGTACGAAGACGCGAATGTAAGGGTTGTCGCCTTAGAGACTGCGAAGAAAGAATATCAGGACTGCATTCGCAAGCTTGAAAAGCGAATAGATGATTTTCAACAACAGTCCCGACCTTCAACTTTGGAAATAAGGAATGTCCCAACTAGGCAAGATGAGAATCCAACTGACCTCTCAGAGTGATCTTACAGAAAATTGGTAATGTGGCAGGCCTCAATCTTCAAAATAACACCTTACGGGATATATACCGGTTACCAGGTAAAGTTGAAAAGGATAGACCCATTGTGGTGGAATTTCATTCAGTTGCGGTCAGAAATGATTTTCTAGCCCATGTACGGCAATTCAACAAAAAACGTCCTGTACCCGAGAAGTTAAATACCCAAACCATTGGAATTGATGGTAAATGTGTACCAATATATGTAGATGATCATTTGCCACCAGCCATGAAGAAACTTTTCTATGATGTTCGTCAATATTGTAAGTCAAGAAAATTTATTTGTTGGCAAGCAAATGGTAGAATTTTAGTCAAGAAGACACAAGAAGAAAAAGCTGTACAAATATGGTCCGATCATTGTCTCCTCAGCCTGAAGAAGGAACAACAGGAGGCGTGACTAACTGAAAGTTATAATACCTTTTACTTTTTATTTCTAATCAATAATTTAGTTAGTTACTTAGCAGAAACATTTATCCTACACCCCATTCACACGCATTCACAATATATATCTAGCCCTGGCACTTATCGTAATTTCTATCTACTTCGTCATGCAAACTTACGTACGCACATACACAGTTACTCATTCATTGTTCTAAATGGTTTTTGTTTTTACATGATAAATACCGTAATGTTACTAGTTCTATGCCTATTTAAGTCTATAAGTATCAAATATTTTTGTCGTATTAAGGAAAATAAAAGGAAAAAAATAATTAACAAAACAAAAGACATTGCACAGCGCCCTAAAACTTTAATTAAAATTCGATAATTTGCAATTACAAATCAGTATTGATTCTTTTTCTAATTCTGACTCTTCCGAATGTAATATTGAGGTCGTTCATAGTTTAATTCACAACCCAAATCATTTTACAAAAATCTTAAATCAGAATATTCGTGGTATATCAGCAAACTTTGCAGGTTTGCAAACTTTGATAGTTAGGTCTCGCACAAGTTGGGATGTCATTATACTGACTGAATGTCGGATAAAGGACAACAATATCTTACCGACACTACATGGTTATAACTGTTTTCATACTACTACAAACCTACTACAAAACGATGGCGTGGTAATGTACATCAAGGACTATATCCCTACCCATATAGAGGAACCGGTGTTCATGGATGCTAATTGCTTGGTAGCTAAAATTGACTCAAATGTAATTATTATTGGCATATACCGTTCTCCATCATATATCAATAAATCTAATTTTATATCATCACTAAATATTTTACTGACAAGATACACGAGCTATAAGACAATTATATTAACAGGTGATATAAATATTATAATTAATAGAGAAATAGTAAAAGATGATGTCAGAGACTATTTAAACCTAGCAGCCTATCACGGGTTGCTCCCCACCCACACATTTGCCACACGAGTAGATAACTGCCTCGATCATGTCCTTTTGAAAACTAAGGTCCAAACGCACACATTTGTTGCCCAAACATCACTGACTGATCATAAAACCGTTTTACTATTTCTTAAGTCTAAATTAAACCATGATTGTATTGTGAATAGGCCGTTAACTAAAATAGACCACGAGGGCCTCGCATTTAGCCTTTATAATATGGATCTAAGTCCTCTCTTCAATTCGTGTGATGTCAATTTTGCTGCGAGCTTTTTGATGGCATCTATTACTGAAGCCATCAAGTCGAACTCGAGGCAGATTAGTCCCTCGAAAAGAAGAATGATTATCAAACCCTGGATTACCCCGGTCTTTTGAAGTGCATGCGCAACAGGGACAACTTGCACAAAAAGACAAAAAAATATCCCGATAATGAGATTATAATTACCACATATAAACGTTACCGTAATTTCTGCAACAATTTGTTAAAAAAACTAAAACGGAACTATGAAAGTAATCAACTTAATGCAGCTAAACACAATCCAAAATTACTTTGGAAAACAATTGACACCATAACAAATAGACAAAGATCGCAAGCAACTCCAAATGAGTTGCTAAAAAATTACTCCAATAATTTGGCAGCGGTCAATGATATCAATAAATTTTTCGTAGGAGTTGGCAAGAATCTGGCGGAAAATATAATACAAAAGAACTGTTCTACTGTTGTTGAATGCAGTTTTGGAGGTAATACTAGTCATAATTCTCTAGTATTGCTAGCCACTGATGAGTGTGAGGTGGAAAGACACGTTATAGCCCTCAAGAGCGATGCCACAGGACGTGACGGTATTGGCGCTAATATCCTAAGGTCATATAAATCAATTATTGTGCCCCTCTCTCACACAATTTGGCTCTCAGCAATGGTACTTTTCCATCTGCTTTTAAACAAGCCTTAATAATACCAGTTTATAAAGGAGGTCTGGCTAGAGACCGTGTCAACAGGTATAGACCGATATCCATCCTACCTGCTATGTCTAAGGTTTTGGAAAAATTAATGAATAACAGGCTTATTAAATTCCTAGAGGTGAATAACCTTCTATCCACTTCCCAGTACGGTTTTCGCTCTGGGAGATCCACCGGGGATGCGGTTCATGCCCTCACCGACTACGTTATTAGGAACCTAGAAGGGGGCAGGAAGTGCATAGCTATATTCCTGGACCTAGCTAAGGCGTTTGACACGGTCTCTATCGAAATTCTAATAAAAAAACTTGAGCACATTGGTGTTAGAGGGGCCCAATTGCGACTATTCGGTGACTATTTGAGCAACAGAACCCAGGCCACAAAGATTGGGGATAGTGTGAGTGAGGACCTTCCTGTTCGATACGGTGTTCCGCAGGGCAGCGTATTGGGTCCTACCCTGTTTTTAGTGTATATTAATCAGCTATGCAACCTACAGCTAACCAATGGATCCATCGTTACCTTTGCGGATGACACGGCTTTATTATTTAATGCACCGACTTGGGGGGAGGTTTTCGCTCACGCTCAATCTGGCTTGGATAGTGTGACTGATTGGCTTGGCGACAACGTCTTAACGCTCAATGCAGACAAAACTAAATACATGGCATTCACAAAACGAGGGTGCCACCCACAACATCAGTGGACAATCGTGACTCATTGCTGCCCCCGTCCGCGACGATTGGATGGTTTGTGCGACTGCCCTCGGCTGCAAAATGTTAGCACAATAATGTACCTTGGCGTACTTATAGACCACAATCTCAGCTTTAATGGTCACATTGAATTGCTTTCGGGACGTTTGCGCAAGCTAATGTATGTATTCAGGAGCCTGCGTGGGGTTGCTGACTCCACTACAATTAGAATGGTGTACGAGTCGCTTTGCCAATCACTGCTAATTTACTGTGTAGTGGTATGGGGAGGCACCTATAAAACCTCACTCCTGAAACTTGAGCGAGCCCAACGAGCAGTTCTTAAAACCTCATTGTCTCTTCCCTTTCGGTTCCCTACTGAGGAACTATATAAAATCAGTTCTGTACTTACAGTTCGACAGCTGTTTATTTTATACACTGTCCTTAAGCAACATTCGCTGTTATTCTTCGATACCGCTGTATTGGACAAACGTCGCAAATATAGCGTTTGTGCAACCCCATTTTATTCTAATTTTTCTCAGCGATCTTTCTCTTTTCTGGGCTGTTACTTGTACAATAAACTTAACAAAACTCTAAATATATATCCTAAAACTAAAAAATGTGTAAAGCAAATAGTTCATAAATTTTTACTTACTTTGAACTATGACCAAACGGAAAACCTGCTAGATATATTAAAATAATTTTCACATATGTTCCCAGGCGTGTGCCTGACACATACCCTCTCCCACTATCAACACACACACACACACCTACACATACACAACACTCACACATACACACACACATACACACCCTCACATACGCCCATACAACTGTATTTGTGCTATTTTGTACTAACTTCTAATTAGTTGACTGTCTTGTTTTTCTCTCTTTAATTAAAACGTTAATTTGTTTGCCTACCCATATATGTATGTACTTTTTGTAACCACTTAATATGACTTTGCTGTGGAATGGAAGCCTGGTTATCCATATCACAGGTTCTTGCCTAGTTTGGAAACCAGTCTCCCAATGCCTTTTCAACTATTGTCTTATTGTTTGTTGAATGTTATATGGGAGAAAATAAAATTATTCTTATTCTTATTATTCATAGAATTTCTCAATCTCTCATTGTCGAAGTGGGTGCATGGACTTGGATAATAGACATATCTAAATTTATTATTTTTAAATTTAAAATGCAGATTCGTTCTGATACACCAATAAAACTCTCAATGTATTGCTTGAATCTTTTCTTTAAGAGAAACCCTACGCCTAAGTGTCCCTTTCTTTCACCGAAGTAACAAAATATATGTTCACTATCCTATTCAATGTTATATCCTTCTCTTCTTATTTCTGATAAGCCAATACCTTATTGAAGCAATACTTTCTTTAAATTCTAGGAGTTTTTCGTCTGATGATAGTGATCTCGCGTTAAAAGTACAAATAAATATATGGGAATTTTCTGTTGCGGGAGAGATGTGATGTGGTGGGTGAGATCTGTTGGAATTGATTGTATTTGTTAAGAATTGTGAATTAGGAGGGTAGTAGTCGCTGATGCCCACGGTGACCAGCCGGCTTGGGGTGGTAAGTGCATGTTTTCTTTCGTTGTCCTTTGTTGGTGTTGATCTACAGTTAGCATTGTTTTTGTTCCGGTTGTCGGGGGTAGTTAGTTGTTTTTTGATACCTCTGAAAGTGAGCTAGACCTTCCTCTTGCATCAAACATCAAAAATACGATTTATTATTTTTCGAAAGAATGAAAACGTTATAAAACCCCTTTTTAATGAAGCAACAACTATTTAATAATACTTACTCCGCTGGCTCTGTAAAAGTGTCTTGGCCTCTGAAATGAGAAAGTTCCAGCGCTTTCTATCCTGTGCTATCTCCCACCAATTGCTGGATTTCAGCTGCAGCAGGTCCTCCTCCACTCTGTCGATCCAGCGGTACCTAGACTGACCTACTGGTCTCCGACCACTAGGCCGGCTACCA